CCATAAAAACGGTCGGTCTTTAAATTCTACAAACCGCTACCAAAGAGGTTCTATCCCATCACCTCAATTGGGAAACTTGAGAACGGGCCGGCCCCAGGCCCCTGCAATAATAGGGGCATCGACCCTCAACCCCTCTGCTGCAAATTTCAATCCGTCAGTGACCTCTTCAGAGCAACCCCAGGCAGTGCAGGATTGGACCTCCATTCAACCACCCACGCAATACTAACCTCAGACTCGCCAGTAGCAGCCATTCCTACAGGAGTGTCTGGGCCGCTGCCTGAGGGAACTGTAGGATTAATATTAGGGCGGAGCTCCACCTCGTTACAGGGGATCTTAGTCATCCCAGGAGTTGTTGATGCAGACTACACAGAACCTAGAGAGAGAACCAAGGGAGAGAACATGGCAAAAGACCCTGGCTAGAACCTGGCGACAGAACCTGACTGGAGATCCGGGCTAGAACCTGGCTGAAGAACCTAGAAACAGAACCTAGAGACAGAACCTAGAGACAGGACTTGGCTGGAGATCCTACACAGAACCTAGGGAGAGAACATGGCAAAAGATCCTGGACAGAACCTGGCTACAGAACTTGGCTGGAGAACCTAGACAGAACATGGCAAAAGATCCTGGACAGAACCTGGCTACAGAACTTGGCTGGAGAACCTAGACAGAACATGGCAGGAGAACCTGGAGAAGCGGGATGGAGAACCTAGCAAGAGAACATGGCCACAGAACCTGGCTGAAGAACCTAGACACAGAACCTGGCTGGAGATCCTGGCTAGAGATCCTGGCTAGGCTGCTGATCAACTGAACGCTGCCTCCGTGTCCTTCCTTCTTTGCCGACTCCGTCCACACCTTTGGGGACCCCTGGAAAAATAAATATCAAAAATATAAGTCTTTTTTTACTATGGTTGCAAAGATCAAAAAATTTCTGTACGTGACACGGCACCAGAGTTAAGTTAGGGTTTTTCAAAATGCTGACACACCGAGCTCAAAAGGTTCACCATCACTGACCTAGGAGGTATATATTTATACAATTTTCCATATAAAAAAATGTCCAAGCCTGTAGATAATTTTTATGAGTTTATTTGAGCCAAACTGATGATAATTGCTGGGATTTAAAATCTCAATAGATTGAGTCTGGATTACATTGGTGGGCATAGGATAGTTAATAATTAACATTTACAACACAGAGAGATGGTATTTGGGCAACAAGATAACAATGAGGGGTTCCATGCTATAGTAGAGATTGTGCCCTGAGGGGCCTGGGAAAAGGTAACTACTCAGACATTTCAAGGGTATGTTATCATAGATGCAAAAAGATAATAGACAAGCTCCGTTAAAGTCTGATAAATACAAACATGATGTTCCTCGTGACAAGAACTTTGAGAACAGTTGGGAAGATTGACAATAAGTAAGTAAATAAGTAAACAAAGTCAAGCAGTAAGGGTGCTGTGAAAAACAACAACAACAACAACAAAAAGAAATAAAGAGTAACCAGGGTGCAGATGTGGCTGTAATAATTAGGGAAGTATCTGAAGAGGGGACATGTGAACAGGAATGAAAAGGTACAGGCTATGTGGACATCTGAAAGAAGCACATTCTAGTAACAGTAATTCAGTGCCCTGAGATTGGAGGATGTTTGTAATGTTTATAAAAACAAGGAGAAGTGAGACTGGAAACTAGCAAGCAAAGGCTAGAGTGTTAGAAATTGATGTTGTCAAGGAAACCAGAGATCAGATAATAAAAGATATTTCTTCCCAGAATATGAGCCTTTTGTCTGTAAAATGCATTGCAAATTATTTTTCTAGTTTGTCTTTTGCCTTTGACTTTGTTTTTGGACAATTTTGCTACACAGAAGTATTCAGTTTTTACCTAGTCGGGCTTAGCATTTTACTGTTTGTTTATGGCTTCAGGGATTTCATTCCAAGAATATTAAACATGCCTTTCTTTTTCTGTTACCACTTTCATGGTTCCACTATTTTATATTTAAATTTCTGCAACACCTGGGATATATTTTGGCATACAGAGTGAGATAAAGATGTATTTATGTTTTCTTACATGGCTAACTAATTGTCCCAAGAATATATACATATGTATACCATACATACGTGTTTTCCTTTTGGTAAAACCAATTTTGCCACTAATTGAAAAGCCAACTTTATAATATACTGAACTCCTTTTAAAAAATGCCACTGGATTCCATATTCAGTTCAATTAAGTCTTTTAATGCAATAAGATCAAATTTTTGAGCTACTGAAACATTTTATTATTTGTTAATGTATGACTGAACTAGTCACCCCTCATTATTCTTTTTTAGAGTTTTTCTATCTATTTCCACATATTATTTTTAAATGATCTTTACAATTACGAAGTTTAGTTTTAAAATGTTTTGCATTTTCTAGTGGTTAGACATTTAACTGTATGCTATTTTAAGAAGAGGTCAAGGTTTTAATTATTAAATATACCATGTTTTGGCATTCAAATTTGTGAATTTAATTTTTATTCTCATTGCTAATTCATTTATTTTGCTTTCCTTAGTCTCACATTGTCATATTTTGTCTACTTATTTGAATTTAATAATAATATTTTTATTTGACAATTTAGACATTAAGACTATGAAATGAATTTGAAGGTATAGAAAGGGTAATTTACCTAAACATGCTTTTCTGAACCTTATCTATCAAGCAAATTCTGGCTCATATATTCAGGAGTGCATTGTTCCACCTAGGTTCTGATTGTCCCCCTTAATTCCTTCTGAGATTCAGACACTTCAACATACACATTATTTTTCTCATTGTTTTAGGAGTTGTGAAAAGAATTTATTTTCTTTCACAATTTTATTCAAGGCAGATCACTATTAGTAGAGCCTTTTTCATTGTTGTTAAGAAGAACACAGCTTCAAATTATTTCATCGCAATTATTACCAATTTATGTTGTTAGATATATACTGTTCATTCAATCAATTCCAAAACATTTAATTTTACTCTATGTAAAAATACAAATTAAGAAATTTCTTAGAACTTTAATGAGCAGAATCCATGATATAACCCCTATTACATTTTGACTTTGGGTATCCACAAATGTGACTTTTCAAAAACTTTTTATTCTGAAAAATTATTGATTCACTGAAATTGCATAAATAGTACCTTTTATTCAGTTTACTCTACTGGTTACACTTTATATAAAAACTAGAGGCCCAGTGCAATACATGCACCAGTGGGGTCCCTTGGCTTGGCCTGCAGGGATCGGGCCGAAACCGGCTCTCTGACATCCCCCAAGGGGACCTGGATTGCAAGAGGGCAGTTCTCGGGTGATGCATCCTAGAATCAGGCTCCCTCCTCTCTGGTTCTGGGTGCATCACCGGAGAACCTCAGCTGCCAAGTCACTGCAGCTTAGCAGCTCCTACGTTGAGCATCTGCCCCCTGGTGGTCAGTGCACATCATAGCTATTGGTCGGACCATCTGCCCCTTGGTGGTCATTGCACGTCATAGCTACCAGTCAGATGGTTGAATGGTTGGATGGTCGCTAGGCTTTTATATATGTAGATATATTATTGTCATGTATTGCATAACTGTTTTGGTCAATGATAAATCACATATACCACGGTGGTCCTATAAGATTATGATGGAGCTAAAAAATGTCTATCGCCTAGTGCCGTGGTCGGCAAACTGCGGCTCGTGAGCCACATGCGGCTCTTTGGCCCCTTGAGTGTGGCTCTTCCTAAGCCTTAGGAGTACCCTAATTAAGTTAATAACAATGTACCTACCTATATAGTTTAAGTTTAAAAAATTTGGCTCTCAAAGGAAATTTCAATCGTTGTACTGTTGATATTTGGCTCTGTTGACCAATGAGTTTGCCGACCACTGGCCTAGTGACATCATTGCTGTCAGAAATGTGATGCACATGTAAATAAGCCTACTGAGCTGCCACTTGTATAACAGTATAGCAATACAACTATGTACAATGCATAATACTTGATAATGATAATAAAAACTGCTACTAGTTCATGTATTTTTACTGTACTTTTCTATATTTAGATACACAGGTATTTATAGTTATGCTACATTTAACTACATTATTCATTACAGTAAAATGCTGTATAGATTTGTAGTCCAGGAATAATAGGCTATATCATATAGACTAGAAATACAGTAGGTTATACAATCTCAGTTTGTGTAAGTGCACACTGTGATGGTCAAACAAAAAAATCACCTAACAACGTACTTCTGAGATTGTAACCCTGTTGTTAATTGATGTATGCCTGTATTTAACTAGGAAATTTAATAAAAACAGCAATAACACAGACATACCTCAGAGATATTACAGATTTAGTTCTAGACCACTACAATAAAATGAAAATCATAATAAAGTGAGGTGCATGAATTTTTTTTTATTTCCCAGTGCATATAAAAGTTATGTTTACACTAAACTTTAGTCTATTAATTGCCTATAGCAGTATGTCTAAAAAAACTAATGCACATACCTTAATTAAATAGACTTTATTGCTCAAAAATGCTATCATCTAAGCCTTTGGGAAGTCACAATCTTTTGGGCTGATGTAGGGTTTTGCTTCAATGTTGATGGTTGCTGATTGATTATGGTTGCTTCAATGTGGAGGTTGCTGAAAGTTGGGGTGGCTATGACAATTTCTTAAAATAAGACAACAATGCAGTTTGCAGCATCAATTGACTGTTCCTTTCACAGACAACATCTCTATAGTATTTTATGCTACTTGATAGTATTTTGCACATAGTAGAACTTTCAGAATTGGAGTCAATCTTCTCAAACTCTGACACTGCTTTATCATCTAAGTTCATGTAATATTCTAAATCTTTTATTGCCATTTCAGTAACCTTCACAGCATCTTCACCAAGAGTAGATATCATCTTAAGAAAGCACTTTTCTTTGTTCATCCATAAGAAGTAACTGCTCATTGTTGAAGTTTTATTGTAAAATAGCAACAGTTCACTCACATCTTCAGGCTCTACTTCTAATTTTACTTGCTGTTTCCTTCACATCTGCAGTTACTTTCTCCAATGAAGTCTTGAAACCCTCAAAGTCATCCATGAGAGTTGGAATCAACTTCTCAAATTCCTGTTAAGGTTAATATTGTGACATTTTCTAATAAATCATAAATGCTCTTAATGGTATCTAGAATTGTAAATCCTTTCTAGCAGTTTTTCAATTTACTTTGCTCAGTTCCATCAGAGGAATCACTACAGGACTAGAAATTTGAAATTATTCTTTGAAATATGGGCTGCAGATTGGATGTTGTGTTTGTAGGCATGAAAACAATATTAATCTCATTGTAAAACTCCATCAGCGTTGTTGGGTGCCAGGTGCATTGTCAATGAGCACTAATATTTTGAAAGGAATATTTTTTCTGGGCAATAGGTTTCATTGGTGGGCTTAAAATATTCAGTAAACCCATACAATCTTCTCTTAGACCAAGATCCATAGGCTTAGTGCCTATAGTTTATTTTATGTAATTTATTGTTTTGGGTTTTATATTAAGTCTTTAATTAATTCTGAGTTAATATGGGGACAAGCAATAGTCTAGTTTATTTTTTTGCATGTGGCTGTCCAATTTTCTCAGCACCATTTATTGAAGAGACTTTCTTTTTTCCATTGTATGTTTTTGTTTGGCTCCTTTATAAAAAAATTATTTGCTGATAAAAATGTGGGTTTATTTCTGGGCTCTGAATTCTGTTCCATTGTTCTGTGTCTGTTTTTGAAAATACCATGCTGTTTTATTATTATCACTTTGTAGTCTAATTTGAAGTCAGGGAGTGTGATACCTCTGGCTTTGTTCTTTTTTCTTAAGATTGCTCGGGCTATTTGGGGTCTTTTGTGGTCTCATATGAATATATGGCTTTAGGATATATGGCCATTTTAATTATGTTGATTCTTCCAATTCATGAACACAAAAGATCTTTACATTTTATTGTCTTTTTAATCTCTCTTAATAATGCTTTATAGTTTTCAGTATATAAATCCTTCACATCCTTTGTTAAGTTTAATCCTAGGTATTTTATTCTTTTTGTTACAATTGCTAAAGGAATTGTTTTTTTTCAAGTTCTTTTCCTGAAATTTCATTGTTAGTGTATAGGAATATAGTGGATTTTATACATTGATTTTATATCTTGCAACTTTATTGTATTTGTTTATTGTTTCTAAATTCTTGTGTTTGTGTGTGTGGAGTCCTTAGGATTTTCTATATAAAGAGTCATGTCTTCCTCATTCCCAGTTTGGATGCCTTTTATTTCTTTCCGCTTCCCTGATTGTTTTGGCTAGGACTTCCAGTGCTATGTTGAGTAAGAGTGGTGACAATGAGCATTGACCCAGCATCCTCTCTTCTGGGTACCTACCTGAAAAAGTTGAAAACATTTATTTGCAAAAATACATGCACCCCTCTGTTCATTGCAGCCTTATTCACAATGGCCAAGACATGGAAACAAACGAAGTATCCTTCACTAGATGATTGCATAAAGATGTGGTACATATATACAATGAAATACTACTCATCTATAAGAAAAGATGAAATACTACCATTTGAAACAACGAGGATGGATTTTAGAATATTAAGCTAAGCAGAATAAGTCAGACAGAAAAATTAAGAATCATATGATTTTACTCACGTGGGATATAAAACTGAAGGCAACAAACAGACAAATAAGAAAAAGACACAAAAACTCATAGACACAGACAACAGTATGGTGGTTACCAGAGGGAAGGTGGGGGGTGAGGATAGTAAAGGCTAAAGAGAGTCAAATATGTGATGATGGAAGGAGAATTGACTTGGAGTAGTGGGAACACAATGTAATATACAGATGATGTAGAAGTATACACTGGAATTCTATGTAATATTATTAACCAATGTCCCCCTCAGTAAGTTTAATTAAAAACATTCAGTAAACCAGGCAGCAAAGAGATGGGCTTTCATTCAGACTCTGTTTCATTTACAGAGCACAGGCAGTGTAGATTTAGCATAATTCTTAAGGGCTCTACAATTTTTGTTATGGTAAGTGAACATTGGCTTTATTTTAAAGTCATCAGTTGCATTAGCCCCTAAAAGGGAATCAGCTTGTCCTTGAAGCATTTAAATCAGTCATTAACTTCTCTTATCTAGCTCTGAAAGTCCTACACGACAGCTTCTTTCAATATAAGACTGTTTCATCTACATTGAAAGTCTGTTGTTTAATTAGCCACATTTATTAATTATCTTAGCTAGATCTTTTGGATAACTTGCTACTGTTATGCCCAGATTCCAAGATCCCCAAAAAGCCACTCTGGGAGCCAGTTCGATGCAAAAGCAGAAGGTCCTTTTATTTTGGTCTAGCTAAACCGACTCTGCTCCCCGCCGGCCCGACCCTGCTCCCGGCCGGCCCCGGCGACAAGAACAGAGTCCCCTTCCATGGGAAAAACCGGCTTTAATAGGGGGGTGGCGCAAGGGGATTGTGGGCCCTGCCGATTGGCCAGGCGTGAGCCGGGTCTTGTTACACAGGATGTGGTCATATCTATGGCGCGCATTTCCCTTGATTGTCATTGGTTAGTTTAAAATCCCGGGCGTGGCCAGCAGAGGCCTGGGCTTCCGGGAAGAAGGCTACACGTGGCCCCAACATGGAGGATACAGGCAAGATGGAGGGGAGGGCATAGCCCTCGCCCTTTCATTCCCCCCTTTGTCTTGGAACTTCCGGCTCAATCATGAGTCGGGCTGCATTTCTATTCCACCGTTGCTAGAGGCCTGTACTGGGCATATCTTAACAAATGGTCTGGTGGAAGGGAAAGTAACAATTTCTATTGAAATAGGATTTTTCTTCTTAAAATTCCTCCATGGCCATTAAAAAGCCAAATCGAGATTAATTTATCTACTATCCTGATGTTTGCATAAATACAACAAGAACGTAACTGAAAACCACCATTAGAAACTGGTCTTATTGAATTTATGCAAAGAGATGTATTGCCAGATTTCGGAGGAATTATATAAGGAGAAAAACATATTGATTTATTCTAAGATTTTCTGACTTTCTTTGCTAATTCCTTTTCATGCATAACCATGCCTTAGATTTTTATTCTAACCAGGCCTTTTCTAGCTTTACTACCCCTGATATGGGCATGGTCACGCAGGCCTGCAAGCAGTACACAGGCTGTCAACTGTCAACTGTCTCTCAACAGTGACCAAAACCTGATGGGCACCGTTCCCTGTTCAGTTGGGCACCTGCCCTCTTGGCAGCTAGGCACTCTTTACTTTCGGGGGTCATCCCGCACAGTTCTCTTTCAGGATAACCAATATACATTCAAACCTGCAAGAGAATTAAAGGTTAATATAACATATCAATACAATGAAACATAATATTTGCATTATGGCCGCTTCAGGCAGCCAAATCTTCCGCTATTAAACATGTGATACTAAAGTCTATTCCTGATTTTTCTATAAATTGTCCCTGTCTCTTTGGAGCCATGTCCATGAAGATGCAGGCATCATCTAAGTCTATTGTGGGGGCTCCTGGCGACAGGAGTGATCGCGAGTCATGTTACCAGCATCAGGCAGGTGGAGCACGCCGTAGCTTGAGCTTGAGTGGGTTGCGTTGATCTCGATCGACGCTCCATTTGGTGATGAAGTCTTTTTGGACCGTGGATGGGTCCGCTGACCAGACGTGAGTGTGATGGATCCAGGTCGCGACGCCCTCTACCTTGAGAGCAGTGGGGGTCGTTAGCACCACAGTGTAGGGACCCTTCCAACGTGGCTCAAGAGTTTCTTGATGATGTCTTTTGACGTAGACCCAATCTCCTGGTCTGTGTCGATGAGGAGTTGGGATTGGGCTGGTCTCATAGATGGCGCGAAGGCGTGGCCAAATGTCCTCGTGTGCCCTCTGGAGCCCTCTTAAGGAAAGAGATAGTTCTTGATTTTCAAATTCAGCGAGAAAGTCAGCTTTAAGGTTAGGAATGATAGGGGGTGGCCTGCCAAACATGATTTCATAGGGAGTAAAGCCCAGGGTGTAAGGGGAGTTCCTTACCCGGTAAAGGGCATACGGTAGGAGAGCCACCCAGTCCCCGCCAGTCTCCATGGTTAATTTGGTAAGGGTCTCTTTTAGAGTTCTATTCATTCTTTCTACCTGACCTGAACTCTGGGGTCTATAAGCACAATGTAGTTTCCAATTTGCCCCAATAGCCCTGGTTACTACCTGTGTCACCTGTGAAATAAAGGCTGGCCTGTTGTCGGATCCTATCATAGCAGGAAAACCATACCTGGGTAAGATGTCTTCCAGCAGCTTCTTGGCCACTGTCTGAGCTGTTTCATGCTTGGTTGGGTATGCCTCTACCCAGCCAGAGAAGGTATCTATAAATACTAAAAGATATTTATAACCATACTTCCCTGGTTTAATTTCAGTGAAGTCGACCTCCCATTGTGCTCCAGGTTTGGTGCCTCTGAGCCTGGTTCCTCTTTTATTTGATCCAACCCTTGCGTTTGTGAGTTGACAGGTCTTGCAGGCTGACACAACCTGATCTATCTTGGTATTCTGCTGGTGAATTTTGATCCTGGCATGTTGGATTAAGTCCTTCATTTTCCGGGCTCCCAGGTGAGTGGATTGGTGCATATGTTTTAATATCGTGTCCCTGAGCCAGTCCGGCAGTATAAGTTCTCCTTCTGGTGTATGCCACCATCCCTTTATTTCCTGGGCTTTAGGGAGCTTTTTGATACGTTGCAACTCCTCCTGGGAGTACTTGGGCTGGTCTGGTAGGACTGGGTCCCCTGGGTCTGGTAGTTGTAAGGCCATGGTAGGGACCGAGGTAAGGGCTACTGCCTTTGCAGCCTCGTCAGCCTTTTGGTTGCCTTTAGCTACCAGGTCATTGGCTTTTTGGTGTCCCTGGCAGTGGATTATGGCTAACTTGGCAGGAAGCCATAAGGCTGAGAGCAGGTCGAGGATTTCCTGCTTATTTTTTATTGTCCGTCCCTCTGCTGTCAACAGCCCTCTCTCCTGGTAGATTGCCCCGTGAACATGAGCTGTAGCAAATGCATAACGGCTGTCTGTGTAAACGTTAAGCCGCTTTCCAGCCCCCAGTGTCAGTGCCTTGGTGAGTGCAATGAGTTCTGCTCGCTGAGCTGATGTCCCAGGGGGCAGAGCCTCCGCCCACACAGTGTTCCTGTTGGTAACCACCGCCGCACCTGCGTACCTGCACCCGTTCCGCACGAAGCTGCTTCCATCCATGAACCAGGTGGCCTCTGCATCCGGGAGGGGCCGATCGGTCAAGTCCTTCCGAAGTCCATGTACCTGCTCCAGGATTCCCGCACAGTCATGTAGTGGGGCATCTAGGTCAGGGTCAGGTAGCAGGGTAGCAGGGTTGAGGGCCGCACTGGGAAGGAACCGCACTCTAGGGGGGTTGAGCAGCAAGCTTTGATAGTGGGTCATGCGAGCATTGCTCATCCATCTATCAGGAGGCTGTTTTAGGATCCCTTCAATGGCATGCGGGGTTGTGATCCAGATCTCCTGCCCCAGGGTCAGTTTGTCAGCATCCTTGACTAAGAGCGCGGTTGCTGCAATGATTCTTAGGCACGGTGGCCAGCCAGCGGCTACAGGATCCAGCTTTTTAGACAAATATGCCACTGGGCGACTCCAGGGGCCTAAAGCCTGGGTTAAAACCCCTTTTGCCACTCCTTTGCGCTCATCTACAAAGAGGCGAAAGGGTTTTGTAATGTCTGGTAGGCCCAGGGCTGGAGTAGCCAAAAGAGCTTTCTTTATCTGATTAAAGGCCATTTCTTCTGTCTCAGTCCATTTAAAGGCCTTCCCCTCCTTGGTGGCTTCATATAGGGGCCTGGCGATCTCAGCAAAACTTGGTATCCAGAGGCGGCAATAGCCAGCCGATCCTAGGAACTCCCTCACCTCCCTCCGGGAGGTGGGAGCAGGGATTTTCAAGACTGTCTCTTTTCTAGCATCTGACAACCGCCGCTGTCCGCCCTCCAGTATGTACCCCAGGTAACTCACCCTCTTTTGGCATATCTGAGCCTTCTTCGCAGAGGCCCGGTACCCTAAGGTCCCTAGGGTGGCCAGCAGATCTTTGGTCCCTTGTTCACAATCTTTGGCGGTATCGGCAGCAATCAGGATGTCATCTACGTACTGAAGGAGAGTGAGATTGGGGTGCTCTCTCCTGTACTCACCAAGGTCTTCATGCAGCGCCTCGTCGAAGATGGTGGGTGAATTCTTGAATCCTTGGGGCAATCGCGTCCAGGTTAATTGTCCACTGTAGCCTTCCTCTGGGTCGTGCCACTCGAAGGCAAACAGGGGTTGGCTTTGAGGCGCTAGCGGCAGGCTCTTTCTTGGCCATCAGCAAGCTGGCGAAGGCGGCGGGTCCGCTCCTCAGGGGACTCCGTGGTGGTGGCTAGCAGAATCTTGGCCAGGTTTCGGGTCTGCTTGTCACTGGCAGCCACCATGGCGCGGGCTCGTCTATCCTCAGGGGACTCTCGGTTATTGAACACCTTCTCTGCCACTGCCAGTAAATCCTGTAAACTTTTTTCTCCTAATCTATCTATTCTCTGCAGTTTTTTTTCTAATGTCCATGGCTGACTGGTTTATAAAACTCATGATTACAGCTGCCTTATTCTCAGGGGCTTCTGGATCCATGGGGGTGTAGGTGCGATATGCCTCCATGATCCGTTCTAGAAAGGCAGCTGGAGACTCATCTCTTCCCTGCTGTACGTTCCCTACCTTGGTCAAATTGGTGGGCTTCCTAGCAGCCCTACGGAGACCCCCCATTAGAGTCTGGCGGTAAACCGAGAGCCTCTCCTTACCTTCTGCCGTGTTGAAATCCCATTCAGGCCTAGTTAAAGGGAAAGAGACATTTATCTGGGCCTGGTTTGTGGTTGGATTTCCATCTACACCAGGAACCATCTTCCGGGCCTCATTGAGGATCCTTTCTCTCTCTTCCGTTGTGAACAGAACCTGTAAAAGCTGCTGACAGTCGTCCCATGTGGGCTGATGGGTGAAAAGAACAGAATCTAGCAAGTCAATAAGTCTCCCCGGCTTTTCGGAGAACTTAGGGTTCTGTGCCTTCCAGTTATACAAATCGCTAGTTGAGAAAGGCCAATAGAAATGGGGCTGGTTGCCATCCGCATCCGGGGGTCCAGCAGCCCGTAAGGGCAGGGTCTTAATAGTGGAGTCGGGTGCTGCGACAGACAGTTCCCGCTGAGCTCTTTGCCGGGTGAGAGGCGGGCCTCCTACCAGAACCGGAACCGAGGCCACTCCCGGAACCCCACCCTCAGGCACTCCCGGAACTGCGCCCCCAGGCACTCCCAGGGACTGCGCCCCCAGCCACTCCCGGAACTGCATCCCCAGGCACTCCCGGAACTGCGTCAGCTTCCCCGCCACAGGGCATCCTGTGGAAATGATATGGGGGAGGAGAAAATTAACTCTTCTCCAGTTCCCCCCTGCAAAACCG